AACTTTAGGCCTTCTTCATGGAAGAGATCACATTCGATTTCGACCACATTTGAGAAAAAAGGTTACCTACCTCGTTATGTTTCAAAGAACTGGCTGACTTGGTTTTCCTTGTTTCTCCAGCCACATCTTCCATAGATTCCGATATTTGTTCTTCGGTTAATGGTGGCAAGTCTGATTGACCAACAGGCATCACTATGAACTTATTATGCAAAGGGACGCTCAGAGCGGTCAGTATTTCTTTCGACATCGTTTGGCTTTCATTCTTGCTGCCCGAATTTTCGAGATCAGCTAGCAGATCGGTTAGTTTCCTGTCAGCATTCCTCGCGCTATCCAAAGATACTTCTGTTCCAGTAGAGAAGTTTCCATTGTAACTCTCCGGTGGCGTTGCTTGGACATAATCTATCACTTTGGCCAGAACACGGTGCAAATCCATCAGCTGCACCAGAATGGTGGTGTCCAAGTATATCTTTCCGTACTTGTTGGCCTTCACTTTGGAGCTTTCGAAGTCGAATTGGGTTTTGAAGTTCTTGCTCAGGTATTTCTTCGAGTTGTTATTGTTCCTCAGAAAGAGATCCACCTCTCTCAAGGTTCTGGCAGCCCAAACGGCGTCCTTGTATTTTTCCAGAGTGAGGTAGTAGGCTGTGCTGGAGACCTCGGAGCCTCTGGTCTCGCTCGCTGTTTGCATCACATTGTTGAAGACTGCTAGAACCTTTTGCTGGGCTTGGTACAATTTGGTGATGATGTGTTTTTCTGAGTCTGGTACCGTGTGTTTGAATAGGTTGCTCAGAGAGCTGGACGAATGGAGGGTGAAAGCTTTGGATTTCGAATTCATTGAAAAGGATTTACTACAATTTTGACAACTGGATTTGACTTTCGATTCGAAAGTGTCGGTTTGGAATACACTTCAACACCAACATAAATTGACAGTTGACACTATATAGGTTGATCGGATTTCAATTAGCAACTTTTCATAGTATTCGCAGTAGTAGTCAGGTCATCATCTGACGTTGCGATGACATGGAAACTACGGGAAAATATCCCTAACTCCTGACTTAGATTGAAAGTTGGACATGTTTTTCGGTAGTTTTCATGTCATCGCAACGTCAGATGATGACCTTGACTACCGCGAATAGTATTTCATGATTTTTATTTCAATAAGGATCCATGTTCTCATGAAATGTCGTTTTTGATATATCATTTAAGACGTAATTACACGGTAGTGTGAGAATGGTTGAGATTTGAAGATCTGAGATTTTCGTAAGATTTTAATTGTATACATGATGATACTTATATTTCTATTTGGTATTGGATTTGAATAATTCTGAAAGTTCTGTCAATTTCAGATAACATCTGAATTAATTGACAAATATTTTTGGTACCTACCAAAAATCTATTTAAGTCAAAAGTTCTTTATGTGAATCATTAGTACTGGTTCCTTACGCTTCTGTTTACATTTTTTGTATTGGAGTAATTGGTAATTAAAGATCGTCAAAACAGAAAGAGATTTCTTTAAGGACTGAAACTTCATGGTAGAGGTAAAGCATATCACGATGGATTTTCTCGAAGAAGAATATCAGTGTATACAACTAAATTCGTTATTTCGATTTGAGGAGATTGAATAATGCACTCATAGGTACAACTTTCTATTGATTCACTTGTTCACTTCACATCTTACAATAACAAGTGATGGCGGCTCATGTGCCAAAGGGTAGACAAAACTAAACGGAAGACCAAGTGAAAACACATCAATTATCCTTTGTCAGAACAATTATGTTAATGAAAAAAACTGCTAGATCTCATAACTAAGAGATCCAGGATGAACAGGGTTGCCCTAATTGTCAGCAAGAGCGAGACAGTACTGTTTCGACCCACCAGGTGTCATCAGCCGCTCTCGGTCTGCTGCTGACAACTGGGACATTTTTACGCTTCGGGTATATCACTCATTTCGAAGACGCAGGGTATAACATGAAGTTCTAGTCATGTTTTAGCCATCTAGTGGCAAAGCTCTAAGGTAGGATTAAGAGATCGCGACACACACTGTATGGCGTTAATAAAATGCATCTGATGGTCCATTGTCATCTCATTGATGATGTCATGACATTGAGGAACCTATGCTATTTATTCATCGTTCAACCGGTACTGTTCTAGTAATCTTTGTAAAATGGATTATACCCATTGATTCCCCAATGCCGTAAAAATGATTCACATAAATCCATAGGAAACATACTATTGTACCAGCACAATGAAAGTGCATCATAAATATTAGATGTATGATTGTAACAGCAATGGGCATGTCCTATTTCATATCAGAAGATAATGCCGACAGTGTGTCATCGATCAAAACGATGGGCCTTCAAATCGCCAGCTATATGTCGTGTTTGCTCCAGAATAGAAGCATACAAAATATCGTGAAAAAAATTAAATACAACGTCCTGTAGCTTGATACCTATTCGTCGAATATCTATCACACACATTCAGGAAAAAATTGCATCACCCTGTATGTTCAGCGATAATCATAAATAGATTCTGAAAACTTCAAAGAAAGTCTTGCTGAAGTGGCATTTTTGCGTTGAGATTGGGAAACGCAGCTGCCAGCTCCCTTATTTTCTGCGATTTCGTAACCTCCTTCCTTCCTATGATACCCGCCACTGGTGCATTATCGTCAAACGTCCAGCGTTGCCAGCAGTTAGACAATTTCCTCATAAACGAGGAATTCAACAAGGCTATAGAAACGTTTTGGATACTGAAAAATGTTTTTATTGTGAGAAAATCTTGGGAAAAAGTAAAGTCCTGCAGGGCTGTATAATTTCAGAATACCAAATTTCTTCGATATCAAAGATGACAAACGTCAGAAGGTTAAATCCATCAAGCTGCCAAGATCAAGTGGTGTGAAGGAACAGAAGAGGTAAATATCATTTCTAATATTATTAATTACTTTATTCATATATTCATATATACACTCACCGGCAAAAAAACGGCCACCAAAATATTTCACCAAATTGTTCGTAACTTTTTCGACCAAATCGTAAATTCATGTTTCGGAAAATAAGTTCCTGAGGAAAGCTGATGACTTGATCATTATGCAAGAAAAAACAAAAGTTACCCTTTCGCCCTTAACTTCTCAACATCCTGTGGCAAGGGCCGTGGTCGAGTTTGTCTCTGCGCTGAAATTCGCTAGATAGCCGTTCACGATGCAGAGGTATTGTCGGTTCGAATCCGGCTATCGGCTGGGCATTTTTCTAAATTTGTGATCCATAGTTGTAATCCTGGCAGTACCTCGATGCCCTAGAAGTGGTTCGAATTCCACTATAAGCTGTAGGTCCCGCTCTTCCTAACACCGCACAAGTTTCGACTTCTGGGGAGTTGGTTCCAACTTTGAAGTAGCGATATACAAATTTTACAAAAAAATTATATGTTTTAGGGAAGATCCATGTGTTTTAAGAGAGTATGTTTTTTCTTGTTCTATTAACAATAATTCGGAACCTTCCTGCAACCTTTTGCTTCATCATATTCTGAATTGAAGTGTGATCCTCTTTCGTCCCTCCTTAACACAACGTTTCTAGATTCATGTCAAATTATTCTTCAAGTGCTATCATTCGCTATTCAAGGAGAATTTTAGGCATTTCTCCAGGAAGACTACTTGAGAAATTTCTTTCAAAGGAAGGAATAAATGTCCGAAGGCATCTCCACAAATTTTGATTGTGTTGTTACACAATCAGAAGGGACATGTTTCGATCTTATGAAAGACCATCTTCAGCCTAATTGAAAGTTCTACAATACAAAAAGATTGATGCGAAAGAATTACATGATTTGTTATTGACTCACTTGGAGTTGAAAAAATGTGATGCTACTAGTTGTGAAATTGTTGTCAATGCCCATGCATAGTCGAAAAACCGAATATTTGAATAGAACCCGAAAAGAAACACAGGATAAATTTTTCTTTCACAAAATAAGTTGACTTGCTCGATGAGTACCCCCTGGAAATTCTTGATCAAATCTAAATGTCTGATAATTGTGTGAATTTACCATAAAAATTTCGTTCGAATCAGCTTAAGCATCTGCAAGATATAAAAACACTCTTTTTGGTAAAACTGCATTTTTTCGAAAAAAATTTTGGTACTCACGTATTTTTGTCTGAAATACTGAATTTGATAATGAAAATGTGAACAAACCACTATTTATCGATATATTTCAAGAAAAAGTTCGAAATTTCGCCTTATTTTTCCCCATGTGTTGAATGCATTTACAGCTAATTGCTCTTATTATTTTGTCATTGGAGACTTTAGATTCTCATGATGTACTTCAATGACACATTTTTTTTTATAGAAATATGATTTTTATGGCGAGTTTTTCATATTTAATGAACAATCAAACCAATTCCTACCTTATTTCCCTTGGTTCTCACGATGTTCTCTGAACATTACAGGATATCTCTCTTCGTGGGAACCAGAACATAAAAAAATCAATCAATAGTCAATTTAGATACGAGATGTCAAATGTCAACAGATTGCTCTTGGATGACATTACACACGCCATTATTTTGAATGATATTCTTCCTTCTTTTCACTAAATATGGATAAATCACAACAAAATTATATTTCTAGTTGACACATATAATAAAAAAGAATATGTGTCATACATTGTGATAAATATGAATTGTCTAATGATGAAAAAAGAAGGGCAAACTGTTTTAAATGTGATCCAGAAGACAGGCGGAAAAGAAGGTGAAATCTGTAACTTTATAGTGAAATATCAATAAATATTCGTGTTTTTATGACAAAAATACGGAAGTACCAAAAAAAATTTTCGAAAACAACCTATCGCATGATAAATGCAGTTTCACTACTTCTTTTCATATTTCGATGAGAGGAATCTTCCCTAGGCTTTCGTCACCACAACTCTGAAACACCCTGTATACGGTATCTAGGTAATTTCGTAATTTTTCTTAGACCCGGCAACACTGCACCAAACTTCGCGAGTAGTGCGTGCGCGTCATTCATGGAAGACAGCGCAGGCTCCAAGAAAAAACTTTCCCTTCCGATGCAGAAACCCAACTCCAGGCCGTTCTCATTCGCTCATGGACCGAAGCTGGTCGTACGTGGCGGTGACGAGAATTTCTTTTCGAAATTTCTAAATTTCCAAATTGCAGTTCGAGGAACCCGTGCCGTGGAAAACCGTCGAGATGGGTTCGTTGTTCAGGAGCGCGGAGATGACCCTGTGTCAGCTGTTCTTGCAAAGCGAGGCAGCTTACGCGTGTGTCTCGGAATTGGGCGAATTGGGATTAGTGCAATTCAGAGATGTAAGTAGGAATAATTGTTAAAAACTAGAATGGATGCCAATTATCAGAGCATAGGGTCCAGTAGGGAAAATGTCATTGGTCGATAACGCAATCAGAGGTTGCTAGATTCTTCACCCACGTATCTACAAATGGAAATCATTACCAGAAACTGTAATTTTTCATCATTCTCATAACCGTCATAACCTAGAAACTGTGAATCAATGACGGCTAAATATCAAGTAAGCTGCCTGAATGGCTGTGAATGATAACTGATGAATCAAAACTATCAGTTGATTACAGTCACTGGGAAATCCTCGGTTAGATACCTAACCTACCATCACCTACCTGACCAAATACCTAGCGAACCAAATAAAAATACCTACCAATTATTCATTTGTTTTTGGCCAGTTTAGACTGTCAAATGAGATTACTTACAGGGTGTCCCATTCAAAACGAGACACCTTGAATGAGCGCTGACATTTTCAGTCTCACCAGTTTGCGCTACTAAAACATAAGATCAATGTCAAAGTAAAAAATCCCAAAATTTTGCCGGATACCCAGCTAGGGTGGCCAGGCGTACTGTTTTTATAGTACAAGTACTCTTTTTGGAGGCTGCTATCCTCGTACTCTATCTTTATTTATTTGGGATGTGAATGTCCTCTTTTTTGAAGTCGGACCCGTTTATAGTCAATATTTGATGATAAGATGATTGAGGAATATGAAAAAACTGGAAAAAGATCAGAAAATAAAAAAATTTGATTCATCACTCGTGAATCGATGTCATCCGATGTTTCTGATGTTTCTTTCAATTTAAAATCTAAAAAGTGTCTGTGCTTTCTGCTCTATATGTGCCCTGCTGTTGTGTTTGTGAAATCAGTGTAGACGAAGAAAAATATATTTTATTTCACTGTATATATTAATGTGTTAACCTGATTTCATACCCCTTTATTAGTTACTGAAATCAAAATAGTTTATTATAGTGTTATACTGTTATAAACGTCCTTTTAGTAACGAGTATTTTAAGCACGAGCGGAGCGAGCGAGGAGCGAGTGTTTAATAAACGAGTGTCTAGAAGAGTTTATAAACGCATTACATACTATGCTTTTTCTACGAACTCCGAAAATTACATTAACATACCTGCTATTTCTGCTAACCTACAAAATAATTCGAAAGGAATGGGAATTGAGAACATAATACATGCAACTGCATGCAACCAGCGAGACATGTATAAGTGATATTGGTTGTAGATGTGTCCAGTCCATTGCTTACTAACCTTTGTTTCACGTTTATTGTCATGCTTAGCGCAGAATGAATAAATTGTTCTCAAAGATGGATGCTTCATTTTAACACTTCTTGAAGATATGCAAGTACCAGAACATTCTCTTCGATTTCATTTTCGTCTACATTTCGCATATATTTTCAATGAAGAATTCTGATACAAATGAATATTGTTTGAATAATTCTGATACAAAATTTGAAAATAACAGTTGACAGTTAATACAATTGACAGGCCAGACATGTCTAAAATTAGTGAAGCTGTGTTTAATGAACTGTGTTGCCATGGTAATGCGTGTTCGAGTGCGTGTTTATAAAATCGTGTTGCCATGGTAACGTGTTTAATATTTCGAATAAATCACAGATCGTCAATTCGTGATTAATCGATCATTTAGCGTGGTACATATCCGTACGCTAAACTCGACGCTAAATGCCATTTTAATTATGTGAGTAGAAAAAATATATATTTTTAATATGTATAGGTACCCATTTCGTTTTTTTATTCAATTTTTTGACTCGTGATATTGGTCAAATAGGCAGTTGTTTGAAAGATAGGAGGAATTCTAATTTTCAATTTAAAGGCATTTGACCTTGAATAATGAAAAAAAAAACACCCGTGGTGCGGCTCTTCATTTTCGAAATCAAAGGCTGTGGCCTGTTTTATCGGAAATAATCGGAAAAAATTATGTGACCCATTTGAACACATAGGAAAACTCTCGGGAAAACTCAAGTTATGGAAAGATTTCGAAGTGGAAATCATTGAGTGTTTGTTAATTTGTTTGGAAGCCATGGTCTTATCTGAAAATCTTTAGTCTTCTTTGGAAGTTCTTATGTATGTCTTTGTAAAGCTGTAAATACATAAACCTTGCCAGGGATTGTCATTTTTAATCATTCCTAACCTAATGTAATCAAAGTAGAGAGCTTCTACTCTTCTAGAAAACATATGTTCGATGTAGAAACTAAGAATGAATGCTCGAATGAACGCCAATTATTACAGTAGGGTAGTGTAAATTTCATTGGGCGATGGTGCAGCGCAATCATCGATTCATTCATAGGTTGCTAGATTCATCCAGGGGCTCTATTCTCGAACCGTTCGAATTCAATTCGTATACGAATAAAGAAAGATGCACTTATGTATGTGACGTATATTGAAGTGGAATAGAAGATCGAACTCGTATACGAATATCGCTCGAGAATAGACCCCCAGGAATCAACACCATAAACTCATTTTTCATAATCCTCATAACCTAATAAACTGTAAATAATAACTAATGATTAATGAATCAGCCAAACTATCGCAGTTAATTACACTGGAAAATCCTGGATTAGATACCTAACCTACCTGACCAAATACCTACAAATTCATTATTCATTCATTTACCTAGGCCAGTACTTCTCAGATTACATACAGGGTCTCCCATTCTACACTAGACACCTTGAATTATTGAGGTTAGTGCAATGGAATATCTGTTCAGTATATCAAAGTCTGCAAAATACAAAAAATTTAACGATTTTCATCGAGAGCCATTTTCCCTATAGTTTAATGCGGGGTCCTTTAGAACGCGAATATCTGCGTAATCGTTTGAAATAACCCTATCAAACCCGGTATCGATGAATTCGTTATGACATTCCCTAACCGATTATGGAATACAATACAGGGTGTTCCATTTAAAAATCAAAAGTTGGGGTCGTTTCCAGTGAAACCGGTGGTGATAGAACAAAAATTGTTACGTCAAATAATGAGCAATTTGATATACTGCTGCCCACCAATTTTCAAAACCCTATCTTTAATAATTCAAAAGTTACAGTCCTGGCAGTTTTTTCTGCACTTCTCTGTATATACATCTATGATATAATCTTGGAAATGCCGCCAATGTCACTGTCAACTCGGTGACAACTGACAAGTTCACTTTCAAGGCTACTGGATGAGTGATAAATTCGCGAACCAAATTTTCTTCATAACAGGAGAAATATCTCGAGAAATATGGTCGACGGAATAGTATATTACATAACTAGTGTGGATAGTGACATATTTCGCGCGAGTGCGGAAACGAAACGAGCACAGGAAATGCACTTTCCAACGAGTTTTGTACACTATTTTTCCTACGACCACAAATATTTATATTATGTCATGAGTGTATAAAATACCAGAGTAGGGATCATGTTTCTAATAATATTCGATCACATGAAGGTGATATCATTATCATTATTATTTAATTTGACTTCAATATTTAAATGACATCATTAGTTTAACGTTAACTTAACGTTAACTTAATATGAACTTAACATTAACTTAATATGAACTTAACATTAACTCAACATTAACTTAACATCAACTTAACATCCACTTAACATCAACTCAACATAAATTTAACAGTTTCTTAACATTAACTTGAAATTAACTTAACATTAACTCAACATCAACTCAATATTAACTTGAAATTAACCTAACATTGACTTAACATCAACTTAACATTAACTCAATAATTATTCAACATTAAATCAACATTAACTCAAAATTAACTTGACATTACCTTAAAATCAAATTAACATCAACTCAATATCAAATTGACATTAACTTCACATTAATCACTAAATTGCCAATACATTGACATTAATTCAACTTTCAATTGAAATTAACTTGATTTCAACTTTTCATCAACTTAACATCACGTCAACATTAACGACAATAACTTATGTTAAATCGACACTAACTTTCCATTAACTTGACCATCACTTAACTTACCATAATTCAGCATAATAATCATTCATTGGTACATCCTAATCTATAGACCCTGTTACTGTGCGATTTTCGAATATTTCCACACATGTGAGTTTTACTATCGAACTTTCTAACTGTTATATGTTGTCATAGTTAAACGAGTCACTTTCTCAATAACAAATCCATGTGTTTTGTGCTGTTTTCACAGGTGGTCGTAGAAAAAATAATTTTTTGACCGAATCCTACTATATTACACTAGTTGGTAAAGTAACTATTCTTGCAGCTCAATCCAGATGTCAATGCTTTCCAAAGAAAATTCGTCAATGAGGTCAGACGTTGTGACGAAATGGAAAGGAAACTACGATATCTGGAAAAGGAAATAAAAAGAGATGAAATTCCGATGCTCGATACTGGGGAAAATCCCGAAGCACCCCAACCAAGGGAAATGATCGATCTGGAGGTAAATTGACGTTTATACTAGCGTGCGGAAAAAATCACTTTTCCCCATTAATTTCAGTGTTGAATGTTGTTTCCGCACTAGTGTGGAAAAGTTACTTTTTCAACCCTAAAATGAGGGCGGAAAAGAGGAGTTTGGGTTTTTTCCGCACGCGATCGTTGGCAGAACTCTGCTAAGAGTCGTTCGGCCTTCTGCAATGGCTTGCGGAAAAGCTCCACTTTTCGCACTAGCATGCGGAAAAGTCCACTTTCCCGCACTAATTTTAGTGTTGAAAGAGTCACTTGCGGAAAAAACTTTCAATACTGAAATGAGTAACTGGGTTTTTGCGCACGCTACTAGACAAAGTAGTGTTCCTAACACGTGTGGAAATGTATCACTTTCCGCACTGTTTGGATACACTACTATTTTTAACTTGGGTGTTTCAATGATCGATCAATTCTTCCTTTTTTCTGTAGGCAACTTTTGAAAAGTTGGAGAACGAATTACGTGAAGTGAATCAGAATGCTGAAGCATTGAAAAGAAATTATTTGGAGCTGACTGAGCTGAAGCAGATACTACGTAAGACTCAAGTTTTTTTCGATGAGGTAAGTGCCCTAAAATGTCTTAAAAAAATCGTTTAATATCTGGAAGTTTGTTCACCTAGCATGATCGATTTGTTCAAATTATATTACCATTATTGCTGAATTAGTCACAATATTCTGAGATACCATTTGAAGGTTTCATGAACAATGGAATATAAACTGGTCAACATTGAAAACGTAAAATGGAAAATTTTCGATCTTTTTTTTTTCTAATTTCATGTAGGGTCGAAATAGTATACGAGGGAAAAAAGTAGTAAATTTTAGCTGGAGACAAAAAACCGTGAGCTAAAATCTAATATTTTTCCCGTGTATAATACACTATTTTTCTCTGTGACAGGAAGAAGGACGAATCAATATTCAGGAGATATTACATTATTTCAAAATCAGAAAACTATATAGACGTGAACTTTGAAGTTTTTAACATTTTTATTACTCCATAAGCTATTATACAATAGATAGGATTTGTCAAAAAATTACATAATAACATACACATAACAATGAGTATCAAACAAATAATAGATAAGCTGAATAAAACGTATACATATACATATATACAGGGTGTCCCTAGACCAATGGGACACTTGAATATCTCCTGAACCAATAGGAATTTTCAAAATATTATAATTTCACATCATATCGCATTATGAGTGCTAACTTCAGGAATGACTATATATTCTACGAGGGGTGCAAGAAAGGCCCACAAAATCGAACATCAATTTTTTCAAATGGAACACCCTGTATTTCATTGCATTTTCATATTCTCCTTGAAGAGCTGAATTCAACGACTGACTGAAACTGAGAATTCTACACCACCCTGTATTTGTTTCAATTAAATACGAGTAAAAAGAAAATCAAAAGTTAAGATATGGACTTGTAAGCCATGTAAATATTTTAGCCGGATAGCACTTATCAACAATAGTGAACTACCAAGTTTTCAAATTCGACCCACCTATATTATTTTCTATATATTGATCGATGCAGTTCCCGGAGGGAGTCAAAAAATAATTCATTTTTTGCGAAGGGTCAATTTTCTGAAGTCCCCTCGAAAGTTCCTCAACCATTTCTAGAAAATTAAATAGTGTGACGTATTTTTCACCCAAAAAAATGTTAACAAAATGTTCGTCCCAAACAAAATTTGGAAAAATTACACAGTCGGTATTATTTATCTCGTTCATCATCCTGTATGTTATTGGTGAAATTGATGGAAACATTTTCGATTTTACATTTTGATTGTTGACCAGTTTAGGTGAGGTTGAATTTTAATGATTCACAAATGATTGTCATGCTATCTTTTCATGACCAGACGAATCTTGTGACAATTTATTTTTCGGTCATTTTATTTTTTCCCTTTCATACTTTTCAAACGTGAGAATGTCATTGTTTTTGTAATATTGCTGTTGATACTTTTCAATATTTTTAATTTGAAGATGCTGTATTTAAGGATTTCTACAATATTGGCAGTGCTTTTTCAATAAATGTGTTCCAACTTTTCGCAAAATTAGTAGCCTCTTCTTTTAGTGCTTTCGTAAAGTATTGAATTTATTCATTTTTTGCCAAACTATTCATTTCTCAGGAATCTTCTGCAATAGGTTGATTTTTAATTTCAATATACCACATTATTTCTAAAGGAAAATTCAATGTACGTTTGAGTCGAATGGAACACCCTGTACAGGGTGTTACAAATTGGTGACTAAGCATGGGGATCTCGAAAATCCTCAGGGCAAAGTAGCAACAATTCATGCTCAACAAAATGCTGCTATGAAATTGTAAAAATCTCAATTATTTTCGGAGATATCCAGAAAAAAAGGAAGATTTGCAAAATCATTTCATTTGAAGATATATTTCAAAATTAATGTCACTATTGGAAATCCGACGTTTCTTCTTCTAGCAGCCATCATGAACTTGATTTTTTTGCGTGCGAACCTTGATTTTTCATTCCATTTTTCGATAGTTTTCGATATCCTTGATATGATTGTGTATCAAACAAAACATTACTTGAAATGTTTACTTCAATGAAAAACATATTTATAAAAGGCATATTTGTCTAGCACAGCGTTTCTGGGATTAATTTGTCTTTGTCTAACACATTATATTCAGTATTCAGTACCTCCTACATAATTGAATTGCAATTATTATGAATGTATTATTAGTCATACGAAACAAAAAATGATAATCAAGCAATTGTTAATTATTCAATTAAATAATATTTATATGAACCATGTAAACACAATATAATCAATTTGCAAAAAATAAGTTTTCTTTCATTGTAAATGCTCTAAAATATTTTCGTTTGCGTTTAAGCATTCTCAAAGACCTTCAGAAAAAGCAAAAAAAAAAGAATTATTTTTGAGCATTTACTATGAAAGAAAACTTAATGTTCGTTTTTTTCATATTGGATTAATTGTGTTTTCATCGTTTATAAATATTATTTCATTAAATGATAAACAATTATTAATTATTTTTCATTCTTGGTTTGGTATAACTGATGATACACATTAGACAAAGACAAATTAATTCTAAAAACGCTGTGTTGGACAGAGATGATCTCCATACCCTTTTCAAACAATTTTTTTCACTGAAGTAAACATTTTATGAATTGTTTTGGTAAACTATCATATCAAGGAGATCGAGAACTATCGAAAAATTAAATAAAAAATCCAGGTCCATATTTAGAAAAATAAAGTTGATGATGGCCGCTCGAAGAAGAAACGTCGGATTTCCAGTTTGACAATTCCATTTTGTAGAGGAGGAAAAGTGGCAATGTTCAAGTGACATTTATTTCGAAATATCCGAGGAAATATCTCATCAAATGAACTAAGTAATAAATGAAAACGATTTTGCATATTTTCCTTCCTCTTCGGATATCTCCAGAAATAATTGAAATGTTCACAATTCCAAAACAACATTTTGCAACTTTGCCCTAATTTAACATATTCTGTATCTCTTGAGGTTACCGAGATCCCATGCTTAGTCACAAATTTATAATACCCTGTATATCATTCAAGTCTTGGAATCTATGGAAAGCTGAATTCAATAATATTTCACACATGGGGGTTGTATACTGAGCGTCCGTTGAATTCAGTGCTTTCGTTGAATTGAAAAAATACCGATGACGTCATTTCTCCTACACGCATCATTTTGTATGTGTTATAATTTGATTTGAAATAATGCTCAAAATGAAGATAAAATTCATCGGTTTCGAGGGTTTTTTCCAAAAACAATTCCCGAGACAATTCCTTACATTTTTTTACGAATGTAAACTATTTTACGAGATTACTGACTTTAACGGACGCCCTGTATATAAATTCTATTTGTGATTTGTGATATACAGGGTGTTTCACAGATGAAGGGAAATATTTCAATGGCACATAGGGGTCATCAAGGTGGTTCTGAAAATACCATATTTGATAGGTCTTAGAGCGAGTCTTAGAGGCTTCATAACGGAGATTTACCGATTTCGAATAATCATTCATTCATCTATAAGTTTTGAACCACCCAGTATATTTTTCTAAAATTTGGTATGAAGCTTATACTTGGGACGTTGAATTCATTCACCTATCGGGCGAAGTGAAAATCCAGGTTCGGCTTCAGGAAAAATTTACATTTATTCGAAATATTAAAATAACACATTGTATGTAATAATTGACAGAGTTCATCGTGGAGAGGAGGAAAAACCGAACTGGATTTGATGCTTTTTGTTTTCTCGCCACCAATTCTCATCGTAACAATCATAAACAGAAAGCTAAAAGTATGTTAATTTGAAGAGTATTAAAATTATGAAACCACTTTCAATTATGATTATTTGATATATTCTTGTTAAATGATCGTTCGAAAGAACTATTACTAAGTCTCACAGTCTTTATAACAGAAATACAGGGTGAATTATCGGTTTCGAATAATTATTCACTCTTCCATGAGTATTAAACTACCCATCGCAATATTTTCTCGAATTTGGTATTGAGCTTACTTGGGACGATGGATTCATTCACCTATCAGGCAGAATGGAAATACAGGTTCAGCTTCAGGAAAAGTCTCATAGTCTTTATAACCGATACAGGGTGAATTATCGAATTATAATTATTTGGTATCATTTCCATTGATGAATCCATCGTCCCAAGTAAGCTACATTCCAAATTTGAGAAAATGTTACTGGGTAGTTTGATACTTATGGACGAGTGAATGATTATTCAAAACCGATAATTCACCCTGTATCTCCGTTATGAAGACTGTGAGACTTAGTAAGTTCTTTCGAGCGATTTTTTGACTGAAATATATCAAATAATCATAATTGACACTGGTTTCATATAATTTCAATACTCTTCAAATTGACATACTTTCAACATTCTGTTTATGATTGTTACGATGAGAATTGGTGGCGGGAAAACAAAAAGCATCAAACCCAATTCAGTTTTTCCTCCTCTCCACAATTCTTTTGATGTACTGTGTTGATTATTAAATAACAGAGTGTTATTTTGATATTTTGAATAAATGTAAATTTTTCCTGAAGCCGAACCTGGATTTTCGCTCCGCTCGATAGGTGAATGAATTTAACGTCCCAAGTATGAGCCTTACCAAATTTGAGAAAAATATACTGGGTAGTTCAATACTTTGAATAATTATTCGAAATCGATAAATCGCTCTGTATCTCCGTTATGAAGCCTCTAAGACCTATCAAATATGGTATTTTCAGAACCACCTTGGTGACCCCTATCTACCATTGAAATATTTCCCTTTACCTGTGAAACACCCTGTATCTACGAGTAAATGTATTTTTGTATGCAGCTTTCCGTGGAGATCCCAAACATTGAACATTATAAAGGGGGTATCATTAGTGTAATTTGAACAGATTGTCGTGGACGTCATTACTCGAACGTGGATCTATCACCCTGTATATTCAATTTTCCCTCACAAATAGTGTGGCAAATTGACATTGAAAGTCGACCTGTTTCAGGAGATTCCTCAGAAATGGGCAGTTTGGCTATAAATACATTTATTCAGTACTT